CATTTTGCCTAGAGAATCCTTATTTCTTTTCTCTGCTTGTGAATTCCTATTTATCCTTCAAGAAAGGTCCAGAGTGAGACATCTTTCTTGTGAGACCGCCCCGATTCCCTCTAGTCAGAGGTAAGTTTTTCCCCTATAGCCTCTGAAACACATCTCATTGTAGCACTTAGTAATATGCATTTTGATCATTTATTTACTGGTCTGTATATCTCAGCTAATTATAAGCTCTTCCGGGGCAGGGCCTCTGTCTTTTTCATCTTTGTGTCTCTAGCACCTATTACAGTACTTGGCATATCCGGGCACTGGCTAAATGCTTGTTGAAAGAATGAATAAATGAGGTAATGAAACTTATTATGTGAAAATAAAAGTTCATACTGATCTGAAATTTTCAAATTTAACTAATCAATAAATTTGACCTGAGCACGTGTGATGTATAAAGCACGGTATTGCATTAGACACAAAGAAGTACTGTACGTGGCCTCTGCATTAAGAAACTTGTAATATGGCTGTGGGGGCCAGATAAATATATATACAAACAAATGCTAATTAAGAGAGAAATGATTTTAATGAAGTGATAAAAAGGAACTTTTCAAGGCAATGTAGAATGAGTTGCGAAATGAATGAAATGGAGATGGGTTATAGGATCTTGGAGTTTGAAAAGGTCACTATGGCCTGGGAAAGGGATTCTGTGGAATATGACTCGATAGTTAGAACTCCATGTTGCAAGTGGCAAAAAGAATTAGCCCTTAGGGATTTAAACAATAAAGGGGAGCTATTGGCTGAAATTCCCAGGAAAGGCTGGCTCCAGACAAGACTCTATCTAGTGTGCAAATAATATCGCGTGATTTCTCTGCTCCTCCCCTTGAAGTGTTAGCTTCTGTTCCTTTTCTTCCACATGTTATCATGTCATCACCCTCCTCTTCTTCTCTCAGCAGCTCTATGTTCTCACCTTGAAGGGTACCATTCCAGACCCCACAGCCTCACCTTTTCTTTCCCAGAAGGTTCCAGCAAGTATATGTTTACATCTCATTATCTCTGATTAGTTACATAACTTCCCTCAACCCATCACTGTGGCTACAAAAAAGAGATAGTCTGATTGATTTAACCCAATGAGTGCCCGCCTCAAAAGTGTGGGCAAGGTCAGCTGCGCCTATCGCATGGCTGATAATAGGAGAGGGTGGTTGCCAAAGAATACACAGGATACCCAGAGAGGCTAGCATGTCACCTAGGGGTGGAGCAGTGTGGCTTGGGAAACATGGCTTAGGGCTACACCTAACAAGTCTGACGTGCTGCTCATTTGTTTCATCTAAGCCACAACGTTAAAAGAGTTCTCAGAACAGGTGGCCTCCCCACACTAGCCTTCCCTAAATCATGGCAGAAGAAAGAGCTCAGGGTTAAGGATCAAAAGCCTGACTTCTGGTCTTGGCTCTATCAAGACATTGAATCTTTCTAGTCCTCAGTTTTCTCAGTTATAAAATGTGGATGACACCTGTTCCCCCAGCATTGTCAAGAGGGTCAGATGAAACTATCAGTTTGGAAGCTCTTTCAAAAGTATCAAAATATATTTAGAAAGGATTATTTGTAATCTCATCCTCAATGCTCACTTCTATATATTTCTCATCGTGAGAGATTAAGAAAATTAAGCCAATGAACTCCCCCAGTTTCCCTCTGTTCACCCCACTCCAGATGGTCTGGCCATCTTTCTGTTCCTCATATGCTCTATATCAATCATGATGCTTTTTGCTCAAGGAATGGAAAATCCCATTCCAAAGGGCTTTAACAGTAGGATATTTTACTCTTCCATAATAAGGATGTGCAGTATGGCAGGCCCATGCCTGCACACCTTTTGGCTCTGACCTGCCCTGAGGGTCGCTCTCACCCTCAGCCTTGCTGCAAGACAGCTGCAGTGATTCCAGGAATCGTAGGCAGAGAGGAACTGTTTCTTCACATGTATCTCCTTTTATTTAGGCTAGGAAACCTTTCCAAGAAAAACTCTCATGTCTTATTGGTTAGAACTGGCCACAAGCCAACCCTGAAGCCAGTCTCTGGTGAAGGGGGATGGGATCCATATGATTGGCTAAGATTATTCAGGATTCACTCTTGAGTTAGAGATAGGACTATTTTCTGCATGGCCACATGGTGGAAATGATCTGAAAATGATCAGGGTCTGACCACTAAAAGAGGGGGGAGACTGGCTATTGGGTAGGCAACCAACTGAGTCTGTGTAGCAGATGCTGCCAGTGCCCTGTTTGTATCCCCAGGCCTTATGACTTGAGTGCACATCACTGACTTCTGACCACAGGCACCCGTATTCTTTGCTTGCAAGCTTCTGGTCTTTGCAGCCTGCTTTCCTGCCCATGCAATAAGCCATAAATGCTAGGGGATTAATGTCCCCACCCTGGGAACAGCCCTCAATGACTGATGGGAGTATATATATCCCCAAATGTATAAATACTGACTTCCCTCATGCCTAGGGTGAGATAACTCTGCGGTGTTTATTCTACACTGGCTTCCAGAATTCCCCCAGCAGAATTGAGTTCCAGTTGCCCACAGTGGTAGCTGGCTTGACAACACACCCTTATAGGCCGTCTTCCTTTTCCTGTCTCACTTTTTCACTCCACTATGGTGTTTCCTTCACGTCCTTTGACTTCCTGTCTCACAGTCAGCTTCCTGGGAAACCTAAATGAAGATACTCTGCACCATATGTCAAACTCCTTCCTGACTCCAGGCTTTGTGTATAATGTTCTCATCTGCTTGGAATGTGTTTCCTCTTTCTTCTCACCTGATGCACACTCACTCTGCCTTCAAGTTTCAGTGTGAACATGACTTCCCTTCGGAAGCTTTTTTTGATCCCTTCTCCACCTGACACCATTCTCTCAGTGTTTGCTCTCCTATTCTGTACTTCTTCCCAACAATGGTTGCAATTTAATTAATTGTTTGTGCAATTATTTGTTTTCCATCTTTATCCCCAACTAGACTGCGAGCTGCTGGAGGGTAGGGACAATGGGTTTGGCTTCCCACTCTATTGCTGGCACCTAGCACAATGCCTGGCACAAAGGAGAGGGTCAAGGACTTACTGCGTGTTGGAAAGATGAGCCTTGTGAAAGACGTAAGTTTGAGGGTCATTCACCAAGACAAAATTATCAAAGTTTTAGATGAAAAAGATCTTTTATTCACATGACTCTTAATGGATCTACATTTATTTTTTGGGACAGAACATAGCTTTTATACAGGGGAGGGATGCCCACCATCTAAGGGAGAATCTTAGAGTAGCTCATTTATATCCATAAAAGATGTCATTTTAATCACTTTTTAATTTTATTTATATATTACAGTATTCCATCTCAAATCCACCATTCATTCATTCATTTATTTATTCAATGCCTACTTACAGGACACTATTCCTGGCAGGGCCCTAGAACTATCTGCTATCAACTCTTTTCAAAAGTCGTGAGAGAGATTATATTTATGGAGAATATCCCAGGTTCTCTCCCTGCCTCCCCTCAGCTGTACTTCCACATTAAGCTTTTGGCTTTCATTGAAGGAACAAGGAACAATCCTATGAACTCAAACATTATATTTGCTGGAAAAGGGTAACTGAAGACATTGCCTATTTTGTCACTCAGTGCTCATGTGGGAGAATTTCTTATAGTGATAAGTGCCATGAGGCAGGGTAAAAACAAACAAACAAACTTGTGTGCTTGCCATCTCTTTGCCAGGCAGACTCTTTCTTACTAATCCCTAAACCAGACCCTTATCTCTGCAGGCAGTGGATCCAGGTTTTGCAGGGCTTGAGGCTTATATAATTTGGAATCCTTCTGTGAGAAAAAAGAACAAAACTACACATAAAAATGTGACACAGAGCCTTGGAGGGGGTCCACACGGGTAAGGGGCTCTGAAGTTCAAGCTTCACTAGTTTCACAGTAAATGAGCATCTGACCTTGATTCAGGGAAACCCGTCTCCTCTGCCCCGACCCTGCCATGGTGGTTCTGACCTCAATGCCTTGTTTACCTTGCTTTTTTACTTAAAAGCCCTCCCTCCTTCTTCTTCTTCAATCCCTGGACCATACTTTTTCAAAGTTTGGTCCCACAAATGCCTTCTTTGACTCTATCAGCTGAAAATCTCTCCCTTTCCTGAAGGTCCACCACCCTATGTATAGAGCCCAGGATATTTTGAGACCCACAGCTTAGAGAACATCATGAATTGCTCTATTTGAGGTGCATATGGCGTGCCTTCTCCAACTAGATTATCCATTTCTTGGGCACAGGGACTATTTCTTCATTTAGACCTCTCATCAGCATCTACAAAAGTTCTGGGTACAGAAGGAAGGGAAGGTGTTATAGAAGCAAAATGATGGGGTCTGGAGTGAGGCCGACCTGGTTCAAGTTCTAACTCTGCCACTCATTAGTCTGGGGCCTCAGGTGAGTAGCTTAACCTCTGAGTCTTAGTTTTCTCACTGACAAATGGATAAAATAATGATGTTTATTTTATATCATTGTTGTGAGGACTAAGTAAAAGCATTTATTCATTCACCGGATATCTATTTAGCCCTCTCCTGGGCTATTTTTGGCACCAGAGGCTTGGAGCACATGTGAGAAAGCAATACTCGAGGTGTGGGGGTTCTCAGAGTTGAGTTGGGAGAAGGGAATTTATAATGTGTCAGGATAAGGCTATAACAGTCACACAAGCAGAGCAGAGGAAGTGTTCAATAAATAGTTGTTGAATAAATGACTGACAGAATGAAGGAATTCAGAAGAGAAAATGATTAATTTTGCAAAATTAGGAATACTTCACATATTTGCAGCATCATCCCTATGCAAATTTAACATTAAATATAACAGATGTGACATGCATGGGAAGTCATAAAATGCTACATGTTAAAGCAAAATAAAATCCATAGGAGAAAGAAAGCAAGGATTGAATGAGAGGAGAGAGGGAAGAAAGGGAGGAAGAAAGGCCCTAAGAAGACAAGGAGGGAGGAAGGGACATGTCGACCCACCTGGCCAAGCGTGCACTCCATGCCACCCAGGAAGTCGGCCTCCTTCAGCCCATTGTGGTTGCTGCTGATGTCATGGACCTCAAACCGCAGCCGCTGCACCTCTTCAAAGTAAAAGTCCACAGTAAACAGTTTTGAATACACTGGGTTTATGCAGGTGCGAATCACCTCCGTTCTGTCAACCTGCAAAGAGAGAGAAAGAGAAAACCCATTGAGGATTAGGGCTTTTCATTATAATCCTTCAGGTGAATTAATCTTATCCTGCTTCCCCTCCTTCCAAACTATAAATGCCCTCCATCAAGTCACCAGGGTGAGCAGTATGAAAGTCTTCAAGGAAGCACCTTCAGAGAATAAGCCATGTCTCAAGGAGGAAAATCATTTTAGAATAATCTGAAGCTTTGTATTTTTAAAGTTTTAGAGCATGTTGCATTGTTAGGCAATAGGGCAACAATTAATTATTAGTGGCTGCCTGGAGCCTTAGGATGAGAAGGAGTCTGAGGGCACACCTGGACTGGGAGGAAAGAAATCTGTAATCAATTCCTGATGTCTGAAGGGCACAGCAACAACAAACGACCATATAGGTGCCCCATTTTAGCGAATCCTACTCTAATATGAGTTTCATAACTCCTGATTCCCAGCATAATGAAGTGGAAAGGCCATGAGAGTGGATACAAATATGACTGCCTTTGGTCTCAAGTATGCCTTTTATTGGGTTTATAACATTTACTCAGCTGTTTCAACTTCCCGGCCCTCAGTTTCCTCATCAACAAAACGAGGATTAGAAGATTAAGGGGTGAAAAATCCCTTCCTGCTCTAACATTCCATGAGCTATGATTCCCCTTGCCTTCTGTCCCTCTCTCCTAGATGCCTATCTGCCACTTTCTGCCCTCCTCTGTGCCCCTGGAGGTGACCTCTATGAACTGAATTTCCTGGGCTCCCTTGCCCTCTGGGTTCTGTTTGGGGTCAGCCAAAGGGAGGACTAGGCAGGAGAACAGAGACTGGGAGAACAGAGAGGTGCAGGCAGAGGCTCCTTGCCTCCACACACTCAGAGTCCATCAGCAGGCTCTCTTCCACAGAGGGAGCTTTTGCTGGGTGCTGATGACTCAGTTCCCCTCTCCCTCTCTTGACCCTTCAGACAGAGGGGTGGTAAGGGCTTTCTGCTGTTGCTACCCATGATGTCTCAGATGCCTCACCATCATTTGTTGGCTCCCTTATCCCTGCCCATGCCCCTGAAAAGAGTCCCTTTGTAAAGAGTTTAACTCTTTAGGTGAAACTCTTTGGGTATGCCATCTGTTTTCTGCTAATATCCTTACCACTGAGGTTCGTTCCTTCTATATCTGTCATAAGTAAAAATACACAGCACCATTTATATTCTGGGAAGCCTTAAAGGACCAAGTTACAGATAACCCAAGATCCCACAGTATCTCTCACCTGGAGATATCCATCCCTCATATTTTACAAATCAAGTAGAGCCTACATATACTGTTAACTTTCAAATAGAAACATGGTATACTGGATACTTCCCAAGTGTCATTCATTAGCACAAACTGTGAAAAACATTTTTCTCATTTTCATTAAAGTACAGGGAAAGTCTCTCAACAAAATGAAGTTAAGATGGTCTTTGACCATATCGTTCATGTACATGTTATCCAGCCAATATTCAATACTTGCTGCAGCCTCCTCTGACATCCTTGAGTTTATGCTTTGTCCCTGGCCCTGTCCCTTCCTACGCAGGGCCCTGTGTGAAAGAGGGTTATCCTGGAAGGAGCACCACCTGCTATTCTTGGTGGGACGGACAATCCAAGTTGCCAGGAGAAGGAGAATATGGTTCTGGTTATGTCCCTGTTTAACAGATAGAAAACCAAACCTCAACCCACTGTTGATTAGCATTTTACAACAAACTATTATTCAGACCAATGGTTATTTGACTATTCTGGCTTCCCATGAAGACTTACCTTCTATTTGAGCTGAATTTTACATTCTTATAAAATGTTCATTCTGGGGGTCAGGACTGAATATGTTATTGGCTGATTGTGTGGGTACAAGGATTCACTGTACTGGCATAATTTTTTTTTTCAGTTATTAAGAGATTGTGGTTTCGAATACTAGTAAAAGCCAGAGGTCACAAATGGGTAGTCTGCAAGTTCAAGCTGACCTGGGGATATTTTATTTGTCTCACTTAAAAGTATTTTTCCCTTAACTCATCAATATAAAAGAGGGGCCATTTCTATTGCCCCCACTTTGGGAAAAAAATCAGAATATCTTGCAACCTGGGGCTACATTCATACATGGCAACAACTGGGGACTGCCCCATTCAGGAGGGGCACTCAATCTCCATTTTCCAAGCTCTTCTCCCTCAGTGAATTTCCCTACCTGACCCCTAAAGGCGTTTTTGCAACATCTGGTCCAAATTCGTAGAATAATGAGCCATCTGATAAGAGATTTAATTATATTCATGTGGTGCCTTTTGATAAAGGATTTTGAAATAACTCCCAAGAAGTAACTGATAGGTGGATTTGGCATCCTCAATCGACACAGAAACAGAACCTTCTCTCCTAGCGCTAGGAAGAATAGAGTCCTATTTAGATGATAAGAGGTTTACATGATAAGAGATAAGAGGTTTAGATGATAAGAGATAGAAGGAGATGCTCTGCTTTAACCACTCCAAATGGCACAAATGGCTGATGGGCACCAATCCTGTTGCTTTTCTTCTCACTTCTTGATTTTCACATGATGACCCCACATAGATATAAAGTTCACGTTGGCATCAAGCACACTCAGACAGGCTATCCAAGGTAAGCTGCCAGCATCCACACCGAGTGACTTGGTTTTGTGCGGGAAACAACTGGTTGGAAAGAATTAAGTAATAAGCATTTGCATTACCAAGATAGATAATTCCAGGGATAGTCTCAGGGCCAGTAAGAATCCTGAGTAAAGGTGCTCAGGAAAAGAAGGAGAATTGATGATAGAAGTGCTCGCTGTACTAAATGCGTATTTGGAAGATATCTCAAAACATTCTGCATTCAAAACATTCTGTCATTATAAAAGATGCATTATCATTTCTGGAGACTGAAGCCAGGTTTAACCTGAGCAACAGAGACTAGGAGAGCTCATGTTGCTCACTGAGAGGACTCAAGGTCAAGGCGGTTGTTTCCAAAAGACCACCCATTGCCTGGTGCTACTGGTTGCATCAGAATCAGTTGAGCCCCTTTCTTTAAAACTCAGATTCCTGTTCCCTGCCCCCGGGGATTCTGATTCAGTAAGTCTGGGGTGGGGAACCCAGAAACCTGTATTTTTAAAAGTGTGCTAGGCAATTCTGCTGTGGGAATATCAGAGTAAGGGAATTGAGGAGACGTAGGGTATATCCCTTGCTCTTGTGTGAGGTCGTTTTGTCAAGGTTTATGTTATCTTGCTGGCCCTCTGTTACACAGTCTGCAAAATGTGAACACTTATCTCCTCTTCTCCCTAACCATAATGACTGATATATCAGTGTTGCTTTATGGTTTGCAGAACACACTCACGTCCATTTATTTGATTTGATTCTTATAGCAATCATGTGATGTAGCTTTATACTATTTTAAATATGAGAAAAATCAAGGTCAAGTGTCAGCACAAGGTACTGGACAATACAGTGGGCACACGAACTCATGCCTTTTAACCTCCAAGTCTGGACTATTTTCTTTAATTCATGTTTATTCATGAGCATCCCTAGAAGAAAGGGAAAATGGGGCTGGGTTATGGTATGATGGTGATAGAATCAATCATTGAATATTGCTTTTGATGAGATGTTCTTTTACAAATTTCATCTAAAACATTTCTCAGTATAACACCAAAGTTTGTAATAGTTAATACTTAGAGAAGGCCTGCTATGTCACAGGTACTCACTTTAAAAAAAAAAAAATGTTATTGAGGTATAATTTACGTGTAATAAACCACATCTATTTAAAGTGTGCAATTCAAAAATTTTGACATACATATATATTTGCCATCCATGACCACAATCAAGACAGTGAACATATCCATTACCCCCAAAGTTTCTTCATGACTCTTTGTAACACCTTCCTCTCTCCCCCACTCCCAATCAACTACTGATCTGCTTTCTGTCATGATAGACCCATTTGTATCCTCTATAATAACATATAAATTGTATATAGTATGTAGTTTTTTTCTGTCTTTATTCTTTCATTCAGCATAAATACTTTGAGATTTATTCATTGTTGTTGTGCATCAGTGGTTCATCTTTTTTATTTCTGATTAATATTCCATTGATGGACTTCTGGGTTGTTTCCAGTTTGGCTATTACATATAAAACTGCCATGAATATTCATGTACAAGCATTTGTACAGACACATATTTCTTCTCTTAGGTAAATAACTAGGAGTGAAATAGGTGTACGTTTAATTTTTTAAATTCTAATAGGTGTGTAGTGGAATCTCATTGTGGTTTTAATTTGCATTTTCCTAATAACTAAGGATGTTGAGCATCTTTTCATATGCTCCTTTGCCATCTGTACATCTTCTTTGGTGAAGTGTACATTCAAACCTTTTGAGAGGTACTCTCTTTTAACCCTCTGACAACCCTATGAGATAGGTACCATTATATCCCCTCTTACTGGCAAGTAGAGAGACCCCGTAACTTTCCCAATTTCACATGGCTGGAAAGAGGTAGGATTTTTCACCTCTATGCCATATAGTCACACAAATTTGAAGATTTTCTAGTGAAACTGTTGCTCAAATTAATGCAAAGCCAGACAACCAGCATAAAATGTAGACCTGATGGGGAAAGTCAACAAATGAGGCTGCGGTTCTGTCTCTGGAGATCTGGTTTGTCCACTAGGCATGCTGGAGACACAATGGGGGCCCTGAACACTGCCTACAGAGATTGGATTGTGTGGGGAACAAGGTCAGCGTGTCATCAACAAACAGTTCAAGACTATGCCCAGAAGGGCCGTCTGCTCCCTGGGGCTTCCATGGGCTGGAACTGCCACAGGCAAAGGAAGTGAGGTTATTGGGAGGCGAGTGTTAAACAATGTGATGCTATTAGCGGGGAGAAGGTAAAGCAGGAGCCACAACTGATGCCAGTCACTGAATGGTCTAAGGTTTCCTGGAGAAGTACAGGCCCTTATCCCAAAGGTAACAGGTGCTGGTGAAGAATGACATTATGCGCCAGAGAGACACACGAGGGCCCCAGGGCAGCCTTATAATTAGATATCCCTTCAAACTCA